GAGAGAGCCCACTCCCTTGGTTGAAAAGCAACCCCACACATGGATGGTCTCAGGATGCTTCACTGTTGGCACAACACAGGACTCAAGATAGCATTCACCTTTTCTTCTCCAAACAATCGATTTTCCAGATGTACCAAACAGTCGGAAGGGAGCTTCATCAGAGAAAATAACTTTGCACCAGTCTTCTGCTGTCCAATCCTTATACTTCCAGCAGAATTTCAGTCTGTCCTTGAAGTTTTTCTTGGAGAAAAGTGTCTTCTTTGCTGCCCTTCTTGACACCAGGCCGTTGTCCAGAGGTCTTGACCTCACTGTGTGTGCAGATCACACCAACCTGCTGCCATTCCTGAGCAAGCTGGTTACACGATTCTGTAGCTGACTCCTCAGGAGGAGATGGTCCTGGTGCTTGCTGGACTCTCTGGGACGTCCTGAAGACTTCTTCACTGCAGTCGAACCTCTCTCCTTGAAGTTCTTGATGATCTGGTAAATGATTCTTTCAGGTGCAATATTCTTTGTAGCAATTTCCTTGCATGCGAGACCATTTTGATGCAAAGCAATGATGACTGCAAGTGTTTATTTGGAGGAAACCATTGCTAAAAAGAACACAATGATCGGAAGCGCTTCTCTCCTTTTATAGCAATCAGTCTGCTCTTACAATCTAATTAGTATGATAGTGATTTATTCACTATTCACTAGTACTCATTCACATGTGCTGCTGATATGATTAGTCAATTAATGTTAGCTGGTCATTTTGTCTCAGGGTCAAAAAATTGTTTTTTGAAAAGTTCATTTTTTGGCCAATGAAGTTTTTGGCAATTATTTCAAATGCATCTGATCACTCTACACATTAATCTAGAAACAATGTGAATGACCACCACAACAGCTTAAGCAGCAAGCTTTGCAAAACACAAAATGTATGTCACTGCCAAAACTTTTGGCCATGACTGTACATTAGATTTGTCCTTCTATACCTTTCTGTAATGATCTTACCTGTTGTGTCACTGGCATATTTTGCCTTTTGTAGGTGTGTTAATAAACTAGGAACATGCTGCCCTTGAGGAAAAGAAAATGGCCAAATGACCTGGCCAAACTGCCTTTGATACCTACAAATATTCCGTAACATAATTTGTTTAAAACCCTATGTGTTCTTATTAACGTAAGAGTGCTGAACCATTTAGTCAAGGTTATATAGTTGGATCAGGCGCTATAGCTAACTTGACAAATCATAGTTCACGTTTTAGTAATAACAGAAAAACACAGATATTAAGTACAATCAAAGCTAACTCAATTATTTAAGAGCAAATAAATACTTTCACTAGAGATGTCACAGCATGCCGCAACGAGAAAGCAAGTGTGAAGCTGATAACTGTGACCTACACACGGATCGTAAAGGACAATTCATAATAAAAGTCCTTAACGCTCCAATTGTAGGATTTGTTTTACACCAATGTCGATGTCGCCCTTTTTGGTACACACACACAGACACACACACACACACACACACACACACACACAGAAATATTATCCCTTTCCGTATAAAATCGAATTTAGTGTCCCTCTTTTTATATTTTATTTGCTTTGTTTTTTTATTTGCTTTTTGTTTTATGAAAATATTGATTTGTAACTTTCTTTTTAATAGATTACCTTAGAATTGAATAGATTCCCTTTTTTCAAGATACTTTTATGAGACTAGATCACTTTTTTTAATCTCTCAACATTTTACAACAGTATAGCCACCAAGTGGTAAAGACGATAAAAAAATCTACAAAATTATAATGAAATTAAAACACACACACACACACACACACACACACATATATATATATATACAACACACACACACACACACACACACACACACACACATATATATATACACATATAGTCAATTTCCATATAATCGAATTTAGTGCTTTCTGGTTTCTTTTTGATTATGAAAATATTGATTTGTAACATTCTTTTTAATAGATTACCTTAGAATTTAATAGATTCCCCTTTTAAAGATAATTTTATGAGACTAGATAAAATTTTTCATCTCTCAACATTTTACAGCAGTAGCCACCATGTTGTAAAGACAATATAAAAATTACAATGAAATTAAAACACACACACACACACACACACACACACACACACACTATCATGTTTGTGTCCATACACAATCATGAACAAGCTATAGTGATATTTCAAATTTTTCATCTCTCAACATTTTACAGCAGTAGCCACCATGTTGTAAAGACAATATAAAAATTACAATGAAATTAAAACACACACACACACACACACACACACACACTATCATGTTTGTGTCTTATTATGTACAATCTATTGGTGTTTAATCAAATTATAAATAGTTTTCAGGTATTGCTGAACTTCTGATTTCAGAATGACAAATAGTGGTTGAGGCTAGATTACTCTTCTTTTATGAATCCCTCAGAAAAACGTTGCACGGTTTCGAAGCGCTCGAAACACCACGCGCTGGTGACGCCTGCTGGTTAAACCTGTGTAAATGCAACACAAACTCAGGCTAAGCATGCTTAAAACAGCTTTTACAAACCCATTCCAAATGCTTTATTGAAAGCGCAATATATTAAATGCAATTAACAAATCATCAAAAAGGAAAAAGGAAAAGTGGGGGGGAAAATCTCACACTACCATTCAAAAATTGTTGACATTTTTGCAGATTTATTAAAAAAGAAAAACTGAAATATCACATGGTCCTAAGTATTCAGACCCTTTGCTGTGACACTCATATATTTAACTCAGGTGCTGTCCATTTCTTCTGATCATCCTTGAGATGGTTCTACACCTTCATTTGAGTCCAGCTGTGTTTGATTATACTGATTGGACTTGATTAGAAAAGCCACACACCTGTCTATATAAGACACTTAAGGTTCCTAAGAGCACAGTGGCCTCCATAATCCTTAAATGGAAGACGTTTGGGACGACCAGAACCCTTCCTAGAGCTGGCCGTCCAGCCAAACTGAGCTATCGGGGGAGAAGAGCCTTGGTGAGAGAGGGAAAGAAGAACCCAAAGATCACTGTGGCTGAGCTCCAGAGATGCAGTCGGGAGATGGGAGAAAGTGGTAGAAAGTCAACCATCACTGCAGCCCTCCACCAGTCGGGGATTTATGGCAGAGTGGCCCGACGGAAGCCTCTCCTCAGTGCAAGACAAATGAAAGCCCGCATGGAGGAATATTGTTTTACTCTCTCTCCTCCGTGTTTCCGCATTCGTCGCTAATCACTGCCACATGTGCTACGCCTACTCGCATACAACAGCGGAAGTGAGAGAAAAGTGTTTAATGTTTTAAATATGGGTATTTTTATTACAAAAATGCATCGATTTGCTACAGGAGGTCTTTATTAACCTCCCGGAGCCGTTTGAGGGAAAAAACAACAACTGCCCCCTAGTGATGGAAGAAACGAAACTTTGAATCAATTGAACCAATTGCTTCGCAAAATGATTCACTGTTTCGAAGTGCACGAAACACCACGCGCTGGTGACGCCTGCTGGTTAAACCTGTGTAAATGCAACACAAACTCAGGCTAAGCATGCTTAAAACAGCTTTTACAAACCCATTCCAAATGCTTTATTGAAAGCGCAATATATTAAATGCAATTAACAAATCATCAAAAAGGAAAAAGGAAAAGTGGGGGAAAAAATCTACACTACCATTCAAAAATTTGGGGTCAATAAAATTAGCATTTTTGAAAGAACATTTTTTATACTTTATATAGCAAGGATGCATTAAATTGACCAAAAGTGACAATAAAACTTCAGTTGTTTTAGTAGGTTGTGTATTTCAAATAAATGCTGTTTTTTGTTTTAACTTTCTGTTCATCAAATAATGTTTTTTATCATAGTTTCCACTAAATTATTCAGCAGCACAACTGTTCTCAACATTGACAATAATAAGAAATGTTTCTTGTGTGACAGATCAGCATATCAGAATGATTTCTGAATGATCATGTAAACTTTAAGACTAATGGCTGCAGAACATTCAGATTTGCCAACACAGGAATATGTTACATTTGAAAATATATTAAAATAGCAAACAGTTTTTTAAAATGTAATAATAATTTACTATACTATGGATTTAACTGTATTTTTGATCAAATGCAGCATTGGTGAGCATAATAGACTACTTTCAAAAACATACACATTTTCCAACTTTCAATATCTGCAACTTTTCAACAGTAGATTTGACAAAATAAATGAAAGATTCTTTTAAAAAATAGATTTGATTTGTTGAGCTTTGCTGATCTAGAGAGCACTAGTACTATTTCAGCAGTTAACATGCATGACTTATAAAATACTTTACAGAAGCATTTACAGTAGCTGTATCACAGCAACATTTAGAAAGTGAAAACCTGTCAAAAAGTCAACACGAGCTCGCTTTACAGGAATATCCAACCACATTCTTCAGTAAGGCTTACGAAACACACTTTCCTTGCTTGCACGGTACAACATGATTTGTTGGTTTAACTTAAAAAAGTAAGTAACCTGGTTGCCTTAAAATTTTGAGTTAATTGAAACTAAGAATTTCAGTTATTACCAAGATTTTTTTCTAAGAATTAAAGACTATTTTAACTTAAAATTGTTTTGTTGTCATAACTTTGGTTTAAATATTGTATCCACTTATTCAATCAATCAGTAAACTTTCAAGTCATCTTTATTTATATAACGCTTTATACAATAGCCTACTGCTCAAAGCAGCTTTACAGAGTCAAACAGGAAAATAGTTGTCAATAATGCAAGAGGACAATAACAAAGAGTCATGTTTCACTGTTTAGCACCAAAAAGGATTCTGCTATTGTTATAAGCTGAAGAACCCTTTTCTGGTACTGTTTAGAACCAGAACGTGTTACAACCCCAGATCACCAAGATTTCGTCTTCTGTTAGCAGGACCACATCACTGCAGATTGATGGTGCTCACTTCGGTCACCCACAACTATAATTCCATCAGTCATGTCATCATGAATTCCTGCTTAGAACCTGTGTGCTTTAATCAAAACAAAGAGAAGCACTAAATGTGCCTTACAATCTTAATGCTTACAGACTCCAATAAATATGTGCACTTATAAAGTAAATACATTTACTTACAACTTTGTCCAATCAATGTGACAGTCATTCCCATTATGTCTGCAAAGCACTTTGATGGATACAGCTGCAGAAGAATTGATCTTCAGTTATTCCAGAATATTATAAACATGACAAATACAGAAACACGTTAAAACAAACAATAAATATATTTTTAAAAAATGTACAGGGAAAGTCAAATGTCATGACAAGTATACGTTTCATTTACCAAAGCCATACTTTACAGTACAGGCAAGGCTTTTAAATTACATAAGACATGAAATTAGATTTAAAAAAGCTAATTTAACACATTTGTGTCTATCCTTATTGGCTGTTTATATAGACCTTTTTCATGGAACGCGAAATTACCCATTATGCTTTGTGGTTCTCTGTTTGTGACTGACACGACCTGATATTTTGTTTTTTTATTTGTTTGACAAGGAAAGCTGTGCGCAAACAGTAACACGCACACGCACACATATATATTCATTTATTTGAAGAAAGAAAAAGGGCAGGTACTAAAGCCAGCTATTATTACTGACTGTTATTCAAAAAACTAAAGTTTTGAACAAAATGTCTAATGCAATATACTTATTTATTCACGCAGCAGTACAATGGGTTCCGGTGAGGCACTTTAATAACTGCTCCAGTAAACTGAAAGAAGAGTTTGTACCTTCAGAACTTCATCTGAACCAAGGTTATGTCAGCAATATCAAACAAACTCTGAGGGAGGTGCTCGTTTGATTAGCTTATAATGTGCATAAAAGGGACAGTTCGAGTGGTTATCTCATTTCATCTCAAGAAGCTCCATACAAGGCATTCATGTCATTATTCAGCTTAAGTCAGTTCAATGTTGATTCAGTTTAGATCAATAACAGTGTCAATGTTGCTAAATTTGTCTCAATTCATTGCTGAATGTTAATTGACTTATAAACCCAAACTGAGCAAGTCAAAGGCGACAGTTGCAAGGAACCAAAACTCCATCAGGTGACAATAGTTGGGGGGGAACAGAAAACAAAGCTTGGCTCAGTTGTGGGGCCTGTTCTCCTGGCTGAAATGAACAAGCAGTGTGATTTAGGATTACAGGATGCATCTCATGTCAGATTCAAAAATGTGCAGATTTGCAACAAATTAGAAGCTAATTAGCCATCAATTCAATAATCTAATATTTCAGTGCACTGAATTGACAAAATCGGTCATTATGCTACCCAGATCAGTTCTGTGCGCTATTGAACACTACAGTTTTACAATAGTTTTAGGTGCTAAATAAATATTACATTATGTATAATTGTACCATA